ACGCAGGGCACGACCAGATGTTGTATTTATCAACCTGTGGAAATCCTTCCTGTAAGAAGCCAGACAAGCCACTTTTGGCCCAATTTCGTGTATTTCATGTTTTTACTCCCTCAACACCATTCTCCTTATACATACATACACATTTGACGTTCTACCTGATTTGTATATTTATGCATCAATCCCGTTATTTGACTTTGTTTGTTTGTGCGTCGTCCGTACCCTATTTGTTTTAATCGCGCCCTGACAGCTCACATTTGATTCGCTGGAGTGCAGTGTGACAGTGAGTGTGCTATTCCTGTCCAGACTCTTTTCTCCCTTCCAGATTCCTTGAATTACGATCACGGTAATGTTTGGCTCTTACTTTTAAGTTGTTTTGGGGTCACTTTAGAGGTTTGTAGGTAATTTATGTGCTCATTTGATCGCTCATTAGTGAAGTACCATAGAATTTTGCTGGGTCGTTCTTTTGTTGACGTTTTGGGATTCAATGTTGCCTACGCGTTGCTCGGTGATTTATTTGGGACACGCAGATAGTCCTCTGTGCTGATAAACTGTTCTTTTTTTCTGTTAAGGAGGTCGATAAAACTTATCTGATTGGTTTTCCAGAGATGAGCTTGGAGGAAGTGCCGCAGGTTGTTGAAGTTTGTCCTTTTAAAGAAACGAACGTGCCGAAGACATGGCGAGACGCAGCTGGACCCGCATATTATTGCATCGAGAGTACGATGTGGTCGCTCTTGCATAAAGGGCATTGGTGTTTAACTGTCTGTGAGGTGATTATCACCTGTTGTGAAAATGTCTAGCAGTAAAAGAGGTTGCCCGTTTCAGAATCCGGGTGGGCTTATGGCTCGCTGAAACCATGACAGATCTGTGATCAGGTCGATTAGTAGTCTTCCAATGGTATTGTCCGGGGCGTGAAGTCTGCGCTAATCTAATCATGGAGTCTTTAAGTCTCCAGTTGTTGGAAGGTATGCGTTAGGGTGCATAAATCTTAAATTATTCAACTGATTCNTGTGATACTAACTCGCCACAGAAGGATTGATAATGCACCATTCCTGGTACCAGTGTCTCTGATCGGGTCAAGGGGCTTTGGACCCATATGTAGTGCATGGGAGGGATAGGAGAGAGACATAACAATCGCATGGGGAAAGTGGTCACTCGTGTAGAGGGTTACACCACCTGGTCGGATCAATGAGCAACCAGCGATGAATACTCCGTCATCGCTATTTGTCGGAGTCAGTCAGGTTTCTGTGAGGGTTAAACATGCGGGCACTTGTCAGCCACTAAATGTTTGACTTTCAGCAACTTGTTCAAAATACTAAGGCAATTGGGGAGAAGCATTTCAGAGCCCATTCGCCAGATTGTTTAGTGGAAGCAGGGACAGAATAGAGATCCCCGCTTAGGTCTTCAGTTTAGGTTTCACGGCTGGAGTATGTGTACTGAGGAGAATGTCCGGATTGCGGAAAGGTCTGTGTTTGCCTTGACCTGTTGAAGACATCGGAAGTACAAATAAGGTGAGGGGGGTGAAAAAGTGAGAGTTGACGATCTTCTGGGATAGTGTGCGACGAACCTTTATCGTGCATAGTGTAAAAATGAAACGCGATTGTCCTGGCCTGAGAAAAACTAAATGACCACGGTTATATCCGTTCAATCAAATGACTTTTCGCTCTTTCTGGATTGCAATATTCAAACCACAGATCAACGCGTAGCCAAAATTATCAAGAACAAAGTTGATCCAAAAATAATCTAAGGAATGGTTTTGGCAATAATCAAAAATACATAAGGCAGTCATACCTCTGATGGTGAGCCTGAATCACTACCTAGTCAAACTGTTAGAAATAAGTACAGTAAATATATATGGTAATAAAACATAAATGAAAAAGGAGTTATTAGGATTACATTTCAGGTAATACTGGGGCAATAGGAAAATTCCGCATGTTTCGGTAGATCAAACAAACTAATCTCAATTGTTACAGCAAAAATGTGTTCCATCTGTTGAATGTGAAAGAAACGAATTTCAGAGGAAGGACTGCAATCAAACCAAGGAATTGTGCTGAGACTAAGAAGGATAAGATGGATAGTAAGTAGGTTATAATTAAATGGTTTCAAGGATTCACACAGGTGGACGGACTTCTGCGAACAAGGAACAGGGTGGGCGGTGGTGGCCCAATGGTAACGTCGCCAACTTATCACCCCGGAAGACGAGTGTCCGAATCTCACCACCACCGCCTGACTTTCCCCATGTGTGTTGTATGGCAGCCCTTCAATTGGCCGCTTCCCCCTTCCTGAAAATTGTATCATTATGCATGCAATAAAAGGAAATAAAAATGAAAAGAAAAGAACAATGGGCTAAAGGGCTTCGTCGTCAACGAATTGTTTGGTTTGTATTTTTTATATTATTTAGACATTGGTCGCTTTGATATGACACTGACTACACGCCAGACACCCAAACTTGGGGGTGTTTAATTATTGAAACACTAGTAATAGCATACGCACTAAACTCGGAATACGAACCGCGTAATATGAATCACGGAATACAAATCAAGGATCAAATATCACGAACTGGATCACGTAAGCACTGGATCACACTGGCACTAGCACGCAATATCCCACGTGACTGAGACGCGAGGAAAAGTTCACATAAGCATTACTTCGTTTATTGAAAGAAATAAAGGCGATTATATAGTATGTACAAAACAAACTCGTTGGTCATCCGGGCTTCTGCCAATCGCCTTTCAGTATTTCTTGCGTCGGTCTGCTTCTGTTTGAACTTGAATTGATTACGATTGTCTTAAAGCTGTTACGCGTCCCTC